TTCCTGTGGGCCTCTGGTCATAACATGCGTATTTACCCTCCAGTTCACTGATTTTCTCTTCATCTATGTCTAATCTGCTGTTCACCCATCCTCCGGAGGTTTTTAAAAATTCAACAAAGAAATAGTTTTATTTCTAGAAGACCCATTTTTTCTTAAGTCTCCATGTTTGTTTCTGATTGCATCTTGTTGGTCTTCATTTTTGTCATTGCAGCCTTTATTTCTTCAACCATTTCATATCTACCTGTTCTATATTTGGTATCTGAAAATTCCAAGATCTGCTATCTGAAGGGTAGGGGAATTCTAAATATGTTTTGTTGTTGTTGTTTTATCTGCTGACTCTCACACACAGTGGCTTGTGTTCCCATGTTCCTTCATAATGATTGTTAGTTTCTCATTCCTTATCTATGGGTATCATATGGGTCTAAACTGGGTATACTGTCTTCCAGAGAGGTTTTTTTCTGACTCTGGTCACCAGAGGGCGCCACAATCAGAAACTGTGGCTTGGCTTCCCACCTTCTCCACTAGTTAAGGATTCTCACAGCTATGCTGCTGACAGCACCTGCCCTAAGGCAACCTTTCGTCTCCCAGTGTTTGACAGCTCAGGCCTCAGCTCACTTTTCTTGGAATCCTCTCCTAACGTTTGTGAAAGCAAAGATAACTCAAAGGTGTGTCCTTTGTTCTGTTTTGCAATGAGAAGGCTTTTCAGACCACCTAGTCTGCTGTGATGCTCAAAGCTGAAAGGAACTGAGCTTTACAACAGACCACACATTAGAAACTGGACTGATGAATTCCCAGTACAGGAAAACGTCATTTCCAGGTAGTCACTGTAGGATTTCTTATTTCATTTTTGGATTTGTTGTTGTTGTTGTTGGCTATTGTTTGGTTTTATTCACAGGTTTGGGGCTGCTTACTCAGACTCATCATATGCTCATCACGCTTGAGTCCAAGCCACTCTGTTTCTAACATGCTTCTATTCTCCCATCGCTATTTTTATGCTTCATGGAAACTCTCTTAGCCATCCCCTCATGTCTGTGAATTGGAGCAATAACAGCACACAGGTCTGATAGTCCCACAGGCCCAGGGGTGGACCTGTGACCCTGCCAGAACCATCAGATCCTCCCATTCTTGGAATCTGAGTCTTGAGCCAGAGGGCAAAAAGATCAAAACAGCTGGATCCGCTGAGCCAGGCCAACAGCAGGCCCTGTGGGCTCTGCTGCCACGTTGAGGGTCCCTCCCTGTCCCATCCTCCCTGTGAAGGAGCTCAGACCCCACCCGCAATAAGAGTCAGAGGCAGTTTCTGTTACTTCTGACCAAACAAAACTTGACTGATTCATTGGTCTAGTGCTTGGAGTATCTTTTACGCCTAAGAATTTGTATTATGTGTCTGGCAAATGAGTGCTGCCTAACAATGTCTCTTCAAAAATAAAAATAGCAGAAGTCACTGAAAAGCAGTGATATTATACCACTTAAATCCTTCACTGGGGGGCTGGTGGAGTGGCTCAGTTGGTTAAGAGCGCAAGCTCTNAGCCAGTCTGCAATACCTCTCAGCAGGGGAATAAGGACCCTGACATTACTCTCCCCACTCCATCTGATCTCTTCCCAGTGCTCCCCTTGGCCACATTCAACTGGAACCCAGAAGGCAAGAGCGCCCATTGGTGTGGCCCACTCAGGTCAGCTTCCTGGGACGCAGAGAGTAGAAAAGAGTAGAGAGTGCGCCTGGAGGGGCGAATGGGAGAGACCCAGTACAACAGTAAAGTTAGTGGAATTCAGTGGCAAAGAAGGGATCCTTGGGCACTCAGACTAAAAAAAAAAAAAGACTGTCATCTTAACGTTGGCCAACTAATTTATTGTCTAACCCAGGGAACTTGTAAGAGTGAAAGAGGGTGCTAACAGCGGGGTACTAGGACAACAGGTATAAACCGGGCCTCTCCCAGGCACACTAGGATGCGTGGGCACCCACCTATGGAGGAAAAACATCAGACTGCCTTCAGACTTCTCCACAGAAAGATTTAATACCAGAAGCCAGGGGGTAATGCCTATTAAGTCCTCAAAAGAAAGAAGCTGTGATCCATGAATTCTATACGTAAGTGGTCTATATTCAAGTTTAAGGGCAGCACAACATTTCTGCATATGCAAAAACGAAGAAGATATGGTTCTTGGGAGCCCTTTAAGAAACTACTTGAAGACAAATTTAGCCAATGCTAGTGTTGAGTGGAGAAAAT